GATTGTGCTTATTTGGGTTTCTTTCTTTCTTTTTCTTGGTCAGTCTAGCTAGGGGACCATCAATCTTGTTTATCCTTTTGAAGAACCAGCTTTTTGTTTCATTGATTTTTTTGTATTGTCTTTTTGTCTTCTATGTCCTGGATTTGGGCTTTTATTTTGGTAATCTGGATTCTTCTGCTGAAATTAGGGTTTTTGTGGTCTTGCTTTTCCAGCTTCCTTAGGTGGCTTGTTAGGCTGTTAATTTGTGCTCCTTCCATTTTCTTCATGTGTGTTTGTAGGGATATACATTCCCCTCTTACTACAGCTTTTAAGGCATCCCAGAGATTTGGTAAGATGTTTCTTCATTTTCATTTGTTTCCAGGTATCTTTTGATCTCTGTTTTGATTTCATCATTGACCCAGAAGTTGTTTAGCATCATGCTGTTTAGTGACCATGTCTTTGTGGGTTTTGAGGGGTGCTAATGTTTATTTTTATTCCACTGTGGTCCAAGAAGGTACATGGTAGAATTTTGGTCCTTTTAAATTTGCTTATGCTTGATTTATGGCCAATTATGTGGTCAATCTTGGAATACGTTCCATGCAGTGATAAGTAGAATGTGTATTCTCTGGTCTTTGGATGGAGTGTTCTGTAGGTATCAATTTAGTCCATTTGGTCCAAAGTCACATTGAGGTTCCGGATCTCATTGCTGATTTTTTGTCCCGATGATCTGTTGAGGGTTGTGAGTGGGGTATTAAAGTCCCCAGTTATGATGGTGTTAGAGTCAATATCTTTCTTTAGTTTTCCTAGAAGTTGCTTTATAAAAGTTGGTGCACCTATGTTAGGTGCCTATATGTTTAGGATAGATATTTCTTGTTGATGGAGTGAACCTTTTATCATTATGTAGTGGCCCTCTGTATCTTTTTAAATTTTTGATAGCTTAAATGGTATTTTGTCTGAAATTAGGATCACGACTCCTCCTTTCTTTTGTGTTCCATTTGCCTGAAAAATTTGTTTTCCATCCTCTTACTTTGAGTCTGTGCATGTCCTTTCTAGTGAGATGGGTCTCTTGAAGGCAGTATATTGTTGCCTGGTGATATTTTATCCATTTTGCCATTCTATGTCTTTTCAGTGGTGCATTTAGTCCATTCACATTCAGGCTAATTATTGAAATGTGAGAGTTCATCCTTATCATAGAGTTCTTATAGAGTTGTTCTTCCACTTGGCTTATTGTCTTTCTTTTGTTTTGGGGGTTGGTTCATGACCTCTCACAGAAACAAAGATCTGAGTATCACCTATTCTCACTCATATAGTGGACCTTGCTCATCCAACACACTACCATAAGAAAATGACTGACAGTTGTGGGAAACTATGTGGGGGATGGGAATAATGGTAGTAAACATCTGTCTGGGGATGGGGAGACACCTGCTATCAACAACGGGGCCTGAATGAAGCATATTTGTATACCTAACCCTTAACTGTATCCCACAATATCAAAATAAAAATATTGATAAAACAAAACAAAACAAAACAAACAAATACTATAAGAAAAGGATTGGCAGTAGTGGGAAACTGCAGTGACGGGGTTGGGAGGCGAGATTGGCAGTAGTGGGAATCTGCTTGGGGAAGTGGGGGCAGACCTCATCAACAAGGGTACCTGATTAATGCACATTTGTATACATAACCCTGAATTGTACCCCACATCTTTAAAATAAAAAAATTAAAAGTTAAAAAAAATAGAAGACTGTCTACTTCCTAAGAAGTACTTGGTAATCAATTTGGGATAATCAGGGTCCATGGATTGGCTCTTCTCATCATGCTTCCAATCCTGGTCATCTACAAAGAAGTAGGCCTTATGATAAAGTGAATTAAAAATAGCTGCACAACTTTTTTTCAAAGAGTCGAGGAAACCCAGAGAATGTATGCCTTGGGATAATTTGGTTGTGGTCTTAAATGGCTAATTAACCAGTATTTGTCATCTTTAAAAAGAAAAACTTAATTTCTGACTTTAATTTCATAAGCAGCTTGAATGCCAGATGGCAAAGTTGGCCATAAGGAAGAAATTAAACTAACATTGGTCTTTGGTCTTCCATAAAACTTCCACTAGAAGAACCTGTCTTGAAAGAAAAATATTTTATCTCCCACTGTAGTGACAGGATCAAAACTCAAATTGGGGTCACAGATAGTTGGTTTTAAACTGTCAGTTTTGGCTTGTGTTGGTGTTCTTCTGGGTCTCCATAGAGGGACTGAATGTCATGTATGTCCTCAGCAGAGAGGTGAAATGTGTTGGGGTCAACATAACAGTAGGTGAGAAACATTATGGCCTTTGGATCTTTGGAATGGTCATGATCCAAAGAATGATCAAGCTCATGAACAGCAATGAGGATCAAGTTTTGCCTTTGGAACTTTTAGTCCAGATTTTGGCCCCATTAAAATGTACATCACCTCCAATAGCAGAGCCAGGTCCAAAAGTGTGGATGATGACTCCACTTCTGCCATCAAAAGCTGATGTCTCTCTGAGCTCCATGTACAAAACCTGTCATAATGTCAGCCTCTTCTGTGTTAATCTTCCTGAATTTCAGGAGGGTCAGATTACTCCATACTTGAAAAGTTTTTCTGGATGATGTAGTCAGAAATATAATTATTGATTCTGTAGATGATATGAAGCTTATTCCACACTGGTCTCTCTGGAAACGTCATGAACTGAGGCACATCAGGCAACCCACATCGAGGTGTGTGTATCACCTCCAGGGTCAATGTGTTCAGTTGCCCAGTCACTTTTAGCCCCAAGAACTGTGGCATTTCCTGGAGTTTTTTTTCCACCAAGTTCCCACAGGCTTTCATTTTTGTCATTGGATGTCTCTCCATTTTAAGGTCATAAAAGGTTTCCAAGTACATTTGAGCAAACAGCACATCATTTTTGTTCGCGTTTGTAGAGTTGATTTGGGGAAGAGCTCTAGAGGCTGTGGCCTATAAGGACTAGTATCAATAGAAGAAACTTCATTGTAGACATCTCTGGAGTAGTTTAACTCAGTTGAGTCTCTCTTTGTATTATTTTTTACAACTGCATGTAATTCTACAATTACTTCAAAAATAAAATAAAATGAAGACAACTTGAGAATAATATTGCTCCAAGAGACAGTTGAGTCCAGTGAAATCACTGAGTCAAGTTTTAAGGGGTATGGACGCCATGTATAAAATATAGAACATTATTTGATGGGCATGGAGGAAACTTTGAAAGGGAAATAATTAATATGATTATTCTTAAAGACATCTTAGGAAAAATGTGAAAGATTAATTTAAAAAAAACACAGGACAGGAGGTAGATAGGTGGCTATTACAATAGCCAAAGTGACAAGGACCTCAGAGAAGGAGCAATGAAACAAAAAAGGAGATGAATTTAAAAGGCAGGTAGCTGCACAAGTAGGAAAGACAAAATTTGGTGATTAATTGGACATACGAGTGAGGAGGGAGATGTCATTAGAAGATATCTTTTGAGATGGTAAACAGAAGAGGAAAGCCTGGTCTAAAAGTGCCTAGGAGACATTCCAGATGGAGTATTCCAGTATGCAGGTAGAAGTGCTGATCAAAAGCTTGAGAAAGAAGTCAGGGCTTGAAGAATAAATTCAAATGCAGCCTACATATAGGTCACAAATAAAAATTGTGAATACACAAGATAATTCTGAGAGTGTATATTTGAAGAGGAGATGAGGGCAGACCATGAAACTCCAGCAAGCAATATTTTAAGAGCAAGGATGGCAGTGAAAGAAAATGAGAGAGAAGTTAGAATAAGATCGAAGAAAATTAAGCAAAGGCATAACTTAGAAGCAAAAGAACGATTTGGTTTCAAGAAACAGGGTTTGGTCAACAGTACTGCTGTGTAAATGGTCTGGACAAGAGAGCCTGAGGGCTCTTTAGATTCAGCAATTAAGACTTCGCTGATGCTACTGAAACAAAGCACTGTTAATAAAGGTCAGAATCCACACTGTACAAAATTAAAGGATGAAAAAGGAAGGCTGAAGTGAATGAGGTTATGTGAGTTAATTTTGCAAAATTTTAAAGATGATAGGGAGGGAAAAATTTTGCTTAGAAAGACTGAGTTGAGGAGTTTTTGTTTTTGTGTTTTAAGATTTCTCAGTGGAGGATCCAATGGATGAGACAGGCTTAAGAAAATGAGACCAAAAAATCAACTGAGCAAGGTACAGAGGAAGTGGAAAGCATGAAATCAAGAGTAAAGGTTGGCGTTTGCCTTAGAAAGATGCTGGAGGATTGGCTGTGCAAATTGTACACTACAAGTAAATCAGTTATTTATAATATAAATTAACTTTAACTGTATTTGTTTATGTTTTTAGTTTTCCAAAAGATATTTTATGAGATTTACTGTTTTACCTAGGGTATCTTATGATAAAATTATAAGCAAACCCAGGTAAAGGAGAATAAGGTTAGAGAAAACAAAGATGAAGTCAGGAATAATGTTAGTATGCAAAGCAAGTCTTGGGCTCTTGCTGGAGGATAACCACACTTTGAAAATTGGTTCATAAAAGCTTTGAAAGCAGTATCTGTATTTTCCAGTGCCCACAGCACCAAGAACAGTGATCACCATACTGTGACTATTTTGGGAAATATCTTTCCTTTATGGAATAATGCTGCCAATTACTGCAAATTCTCCATATTCGGTTGTTAAACTGAAAAATGGTTAGAAAAATACAAAATGACTGAACAAGACATGAATCATACTTACAATTTCATTGTAAGTGGGGTCTGTACATTTTGGAACAGATTTTGTTTTCCTCCTACGAACTTCACTGGGATATGGTAAAAGATAAAATTCAACATGTGCACTGGGCGCAGAGCCATCTGGGAGATGCTGCAAAGGAAAATGGTTATAAATATTAATGTGTGTTGCCATCAAAGAAAACAAATACATAGCTACTAAATACCCAGACAACGGCAGGATCAGGATTTATTACAGTCACTCTGTTTATCAGAAAATAAGAGAAAATCAAAAGAAATAGACCATCACTCAAAAATAATTCCAAATTATGGTTTAAAAGAGTAAAATTTTCCATCTTTAATTAAGTGTTGTGCCAGAGAACGATAAGTATTTAAAAGTTCATTGCATATAATTTACTTCTGTTTTTTATGGCAAAAACTACATTTTCATTTTTGGCAGATATGGTCAAGAGATGATTATTAACCACAAGCAAGGACATGATTTAAGTGCCTCAGGATGCTGTGGAATCCCTTGAAAATCAAAAAATTAAAGTTCAACACATAAAATGAGATGAGGCATTTAATGATATGTATATGAATATTACATAGTGTCACATTTTGAAGCAAAATTTATTTAAACTATTGATTAGACCTACAGCTTTACTATACTTGCAGTATTTTGAAATGGTTATAATAATTGCTACCTAAATTGTGCTAAATTATATTGGATAATCCCTTTCACATTGTGTTCTACAGAGCTCTAAAAGTTGCCAAAGGAGCTGCCTAAATAGCAGAACGAAGTGAGTGGCTCTCTGGATGGTCACTCTCTAGTTCTTTCTAACCATCCTCCTCCCCAGATCCCCCATCCTGGCTTCAGAACTTTTCTCCTTCTTTTCTATTTTTCTTTAAAATCTATTATGGATATTTTAATTTCTTAATATATCTCATTTGCAAAACCAATCCACTGTTCCAAAAAGTTGGAAACCACCATACTTGAATGAAATGAATTCTAACTTTGTGATCTCGACCATATGGAGAGTAAATGGTACTAAAACAGAATATCTATTTTGATAAAATGATAAATGACTGCATAATTTATATTTAAAGAGAATTCTTTAAAAGTCACACTTGGGGAATTAAATACTTGTTTTGTTTACTACCTTCTAATCATTATATCAATAATTTTCAAAGACTATATTTTAATGTTCTGAAATAGTGATATTCACATATGAACATATTCAGGGTCACCTCAATCCTATTAGCTTTTATTTTATATCTTTCTTTAGAACTCAAAAGAACATATTGGAAAATAAGAAAATATTATGTATATTAATGCATTATAATAGGACTAACTTTTATACAGTGCTAACTTACATGGTAAAAATTATATCACTAGGGAATCTTGGCCATTTATTATTGTTACCAACAAATTAGATAAATTATATCTGGACACACCCATTTGTCAATATGCTTTAAATGAGAAGTGCTGCTTTAGATGGAGCTCAAGGTCCCTCTGCCATTTGACGTCCTCCCAGGAGGGGGACCTCTGAAATCTATCGTTGGCATAATGGAATTTTTAGTGACACAGAAAGAAGCCGCTATTCATATTTGAGAGAGTAGATTTACTTATTTTTGGTGAGAAAAATGAAGTGGTAAAAGTATTTTTGCTCTGTGTAATTCTTGAGGATACTATATGTATAATCCCTGCATGTTCCAATTTAGTGGCTAAAACATGTTCTTGGAAATTGACTTTCTGATTGCAAATCTGTGTTCCCAAATTTGCCAGCTAGGTGGCTTTAGAAAGGTGCAATTGCTAGTTTTGTGTGCAAAATTGACTGGTACATGGGTATGTCTGTGAGGGTGTAATGCAGCTCAAACATTGCATACATGACATAAAAGCTTCTATGTGTGCCCTGAAGGAGATCCTTATCTCTTGTATTTGTAGGACTGAGGTTGCTTAATATCAAATGCAGAATCGCATCCCATCATCGGTTGAATTACAATGTAAGTTGAACTCAGCTTCACAGAGTATCTATTATTAAAGTGAAGACATTGATATGAAAAGAATGGGATCCAGTAAGCTGGGGTGGGAGTGTCCAGGAAGACCCTGATAAAGTTTGGGACACGGAGCTCTTAAATTCTGAGTCTTCTTTTCCAGTGGAAGTGGGTTTCCTATCCCCAGTGGTTATCTTCTTCTCCACCTCCCCACCACCCTCTGTAGCAGCTGACATGCAAGATAATGTTAATTCTCCTGAGGACCTGCCGCCTTCAACTCCACCCTCATCCATGTTCTTTGCCTCTAGAGCTATATCCAATCTCAAGTCCCAGCAGGTCCCTAAAGATAAGGATCAAAGGATGATCCATGAGGACTGTGCTACACTTCAAAAAACCTCTTACTCACTTTGTAATGGGGCTGTTTGTTTTTTTCTTTTCAGCACATTTGAGTTCCTTGTAGATCCTAGATGTTAGGCCTTTGTCAGATATATTTCATAATGACTTTGAGAAATTCATTTATGAGGGGAGTCCCAGCATCCTTGAAAAGCTCTGTTGAAGAGCTCTGTGATTGCTCTTCTCTGTAGACCAGACCTCACGGGGGTTGGGGGTGGGGGAGCGGTGACTGCAGTTACTGAACTGAGAAATCTAAAAGTAATGGGAGTAATTGGATGTCAGGGTTGCAGGGGCCAAGGCTAAGTAATAGCACTAAATTGCCAAAAGCTAGGTGGCCCTGGTTACCATAAAGGGTAGCAGGGTAAAAGCAACTATCAGAATAGTCTGACTTCTGCAATTGTGTAGTGTAGGTTAGCTGATTATGGTGTTCCTTGAAGTGAAATTCTTGCATTTCTTTTCTTTCTTTCTCTTTCTTCTTTTATTTTCTTTCTTTTTTTTTTGTCAGGGTCTCACTTTGTGGCCTAGACTGAAGGGCATCATCATGTTCACAGTTACCTCAACCTCCAGCTCCTGGGCTCAAACAATTTTCCCTCCCAGCCTCTCAAGTAGTTGAGACTACAGGGGCATGCCACTATACCTGGCTAATTTTTTAATTTTAATTTTGATTTGTTGTAGAGGTGAGGTCTTGCTACATTGTCCAGGCTGGTCTCAAACTACTGGGCTCAAGCAATCTTCTCACCTTGGCTTCCCAAAGTGCTGGGATTACAGGCATGAGCTACTGCATCTGGCCTCAGAAGACTACTAAATTCTTACCTGGTCTTTGTAAGCAAAAAAAATTCTAGGTCAAGTGAGCAAAAGTTTAACCTGAACCATAAAAACAGAGTCACAGTCTCTCAATCAATTCTCAGACTTGAGTCAGCATATAGATTCAGGACTCCTTGAATAAAGGGGAGGCTGGATTGCCTTGAGGAAGAACCCTTGTTTATTACCCGAATTTATACTGTTAATCTTTCTCCAAAGTGATCTGTAAATTTTAACCAGGATAACTGTACCTTGGGGAAAATGAAATAATCAGATGTTTTGGGAACTATTAGACACCAGTTCTGAACTGGAATTGACTCCAGGAAACCCAAAATGTCACTGTGGTCCACCAGAGTAAGGGCTTATGGAGTTAGGTGATCAATAGAATTTTAGCTCGGCTCTGTCTCACAGCAGACCCAGGTTCTCAAACCCATCTTGTGGTTATTTCCTCAGTTCCAGAATGCATAACTGGAATAGACATACCCAGCAGTTAACACAGTCCTCAACATTGGTTTCCTTATCTGTGGAGTGAGGGCTATTGTGGTGGAAAAGTTCAAGTGGAAGCCACTAGAACTGCCTTTATTTAGGAAATTAGTAAACCAAAAGTCATACTCCTTAAGAGATTTCAAAGATTAGTACAACTATCAAGGACTTGAAAGTACAGGGGTGGGGAATCCCATTATATCCCCATTCAATTTGCTTACTTGGCCGAACAGATATTAAAGAATGACAGTGAATTATCATAAGCTTAAACAAGTGGTAACTACAATTGTAGCTGCTCTATCAGATGTGGTTTCATTGCTTGAGAAAATTAGCACATCTCCTGATACCTGGCACACAGCTATTGATCTGGCAAATTTTTTTTTTTTTTGAGTTGGAGTCTCACTCTGTCACCCAGACTGGAGTGCAGTGACTGCTCCCGGCCACTGCAACCTCGACCTGCTGGGCTCCGGTGATCCTTCCGCCTCAGCCTTCCAAGTAGCTGGAACGACAGGCACGCGCTACCATGCCCGGCTAATTTTTTTGATTTACTGTAGAGATGAGGTCTCACCAAGTTGCTCAGGCGGGTCTCGAACCTGTGGGTTCAGGCAATCCACTCACCTCAGCCTCCCAAAGCGTGGGATTACAGGCTGAGCCACCAAGCCTGCTTGCTTTTTCTCAATACTTGTTAACAAAGATCACCAGAAGCAGTTTGCTTTCAGCTGGCAAGTCCAGCAATACACCTTCACTGTCCTGTCTCAGGGTCATATCAGCTTTCTAGTCCTTTATTATAACTTAGTTCACAGGGATCTTGATCACTTTTCACTTCCACAAGATATCACACTATTCCATTACATTGATGACATACTAATTGGAACTACTGAGCAGAAAGTAGTGACTCTAGACTTACTGATGAGACTTTTTAGTGTCAGAGAGTGGGAAATAAATCTGACTAAAATTCAGGGGCCTTTTACCTTGGTAAAATGTATAGACATCCAGTGGTGTGGGGTATGTTGATATATTCCTTCTAAGATAAAAGATAAGTTGTTTCATTTTGCCTCTCCTCAACCAAGAAAGAGGCATAATGTCTAGTGGGTCTATTTGGAGTTTGGAGGCAACATACTCTTCATCTGAGTGTGTTACTCTGGTCCATTTACTGAGTGACCTGAAAGGCTGTTTATTTTGAGTGGTGCCCAGAACAAGAGAGGGCTCTGTAACAGGTCCAGGCTGCTGTGTGAGCTGCTTTATTGCATGAGTCATACAATCCAGCAAATCCAATGATGCTTGAAATGTCATTGGCAGAAGAGATGCTGTTTGAAGTTTTTGGCAGGCACTTATGGTGAATTGCAGCACAGACTCTTAGGATTTTAGAAGGCAATGTCCTGCCATCCTATGCAGATAATATCTCTGCTGTTGAGAAATTGCTCTTGGTCTGCTAGCAGGCCTTAGGAGAGACTGAATGCTTATTAGGAGAGACTGAATGCT